CCATGAACTGGAACCCCTCCTTCTTGGAACGCAGTACCTAAGAAGCTAGATTATTCAGCAGAAATTTATTTGGCTGAGTACAGAATAAAAATTAGGTAAATTAAGCAGTCTTATGGCAGCACTGATTAGATTCAAATCCTGGCCTTACTACTTAGAAATCATGTAACCTCTGACCATTTATTTGATCCTCCTATCCCGGGTCTCAGTTTACAAATCTATTAAATGTGCACAATTACTGCACCTTCTACAAAGAGTTATTCTGATAATAACATGTGAATCAATGGAAAGATCATAACAGTTTCTCACATAGTGAATATTCAATTCATGCTAGTTATTTTCATCTAGTCCCTGAAGAGATCCAATAAAACTTCTTTTGATACCAGAGATGATCTCTTTAGTGACTTTTGTGTATATTCAACAAATTTAATATTTCTTTTTTTTTTTTAAGATTTTAGTTATTTATTTGACAGAGAGAGACACAGCGAGAGAGGGAACACAAGCAGGGGGAGTGGGAGAGGGAGAAGCGGGCTTCCCGCCGAGCAGGGAGCCCGATGCGGGGCTCCATCCCAGGACCCTGGGATCATGACCTGAGCCGAAGGCAGACGCTTAACGACTGAGCCACCCAGGCGCCCCATTAATATTTCTCTCCTTCAAACAATGCTGGCCACAATAATAAACCATTCTTTCCTGAACTTGATTTTTTCTAGGCTGCCACCCTCTTCATTTTATTTTTTCTTTCTTCAGCTGTACTATTACCACTAGTAAGTCAAGAGTCAGGAAGCTGTTCCCAAACACTTGGGAGGAATGGTTTTTTTCCTGTGCATTTTTAAGGTCAGTTTTATATCATGAGAACAATCTGAAGTCACTTCAATTTCTTGGGATGGAGGCCTCACTGTGACTCTATCCCAGACCCTATTAATATTTACACTAAAATCTGCATTATTTTTTGTATGCTAATAGGGACAATTATATCCTCATCTTTAAGTGAATATCAATGAGTCAACAAGAATTTCAGTGTATACATGCTTTTACTTTCTTTTTCTTCATGGATTTACTGTATTGTCAATAAAGCTGTTAAAAAATAAAATAAAATAAGATTGGGGGAAAAAAAGATGAGGAATGGAGGGAATTCCAAGCAGAACAACTCGTACACATAAATGTCTTATAGAACAAGGAGCATAAGAAATTAAAGATGGCGGGGCGGAAGAACTGAAGGCTCAAATCTGAGTATCCTGAACTCTTTCATAGCTTTCTTTCTGTTATTGCATATGTGACATTTTTGTTAAGTTCCTTATTGGAAATTTAGCTGCAGATTAAGTGCTGAGATCAAAAGATATCAAAATATTAGAAAAAAAACACACATTACGTTTTATTAGTCAAAACACATGCTTAGGAGCAGAAAATGCCTTGTGACCATCCTGAACAGGTATAAGGAGCATGTTCAAGAAGTCAGTACTGACAGAGTTCCCTGGCAAAGGGAAGCAGTCAAGAAGAAGTATGACCGTTGTTTCCAAACGCACTATTTTTTCATATTTTTACTCTGAAATTAAGACAAACATATTAAGTAGACCCAATGGTAGCAATATGGTCCTACGGGTCATTTAGATGTGTTTTTTGCTAAAAGACAAATGGATTTGATTAAAATTATTTATAACCAAATGTTACCACTTAAAATGGTGCTGTGTACTTTTACAGAAAGACTTTTCTGTGGATAACTCTTCTGATTATTGGAGAATGGAAGTCTCAAATCTTTTGCAGTATTCTTAAATGATATAAATATTGCTGGTAAAAGTCTCAGTCACATCATCTGGTGCAAGAAAGGTAACTGAATCATTTTCTACTGAGTGTCCTGATGTCTCCAGGGAGCAAAAACTTTATCTAAGACACCTGAGGGTCATGTCAACCCCTTTTTCCCTGAGATTGTACTGGGGTGCTAGGTTACTTACAAGAACTGAAGGCTGTGTGGGGTGCAGAAGGCTGAGGCAGGCCTGATGACTCTTCTTGGCACTATTATCGCTCCAACCTGACATCTGCTGACACTTCCCTCTACCCAGGTCACTGTCTTTGGGCTATGCATTTGTCATTTCTGGTGCAGACATACTCTTTCACAGGCATGGAATGTACTCCTAAATACAGTCCACCATGACATAAACTATCTATAGCTCTAAAGCCCGGTAGGAAGGGGATAGAAATTGACAACTTACTACAAACCAGGCAACTCAGAGATGTGCCCTGCTGGTCCCATGTCGAGAAGATAGGCAAGCGCAGGGATGGCTAAGTCCAAAGCCATGGGCAGGAGTGATCCTTTGTATTTACTGTTTGCAAAATTCAGGTAAATATAATAAAGTGGTTTAAACATTTTAGTGGGGGAACAGGTCAGAGTAAAACAAGGAGGTAAAAGGAAAAATAACGGAGGAAAATTCAGGAAGAATGAATATTTATATCAGAGCCTCGGTTATATTTGCATTTGAGGGTTGCAGTTGTAGTTTGAGAAAAAGGGGCAGGGATGTTTTCTGGCCATTTGTGTTTATCCCCAAATTTAGGTTTCTGTAGCATAAGCATAAAAGTCAGCCACATGGAGAGCCAGGTGCTCATGCTTCCCTGCCTTCCTCTCTTTGTATGCATTGCCTCACAACTTCATATCACAGTATGGAAATTGTTAGAAGAAGGAAAAAAAAAAGACAGAAGCCTAAACCATTTCTATCCAATAGTGAGAATAAATGTGTTTGCAACGCAAACAGCTTACCAGGAACGGCACTTTGAGTTTATAGTTCTGGGATTTTGCTGAGCTGAGAAAGCATTCCTTTCCCTTCGTCTTCAAAACTATTCAACATTCACATTTTATTAGCAAGTAAGCATTAACAAAACAGGTTCTGATAAACACAAAAGCTGTTTTTGTCTCGTTACATTGGATGACAAGTGAGATCTTACAGCTTCATGTCAGATCAGTGGAAAAACAATTATCTGTAGAAAGTATGTGCAAACATTTTTCCTGCAAAGCTAAAGATTCAAGGCGACGTGTCTGGAATGTGTTTCTCCCTTTAGGCTGCCTCCATTCCATGAAACATCTGTCTCCATTTCCGCTCTTCCTGGAGCCTCCTTTTGGTCTCTGCAGGTCTATTCCTTCTAAATCTGCTTAATTCTGATCCTGCAGATGGAAACCGTATGTCTCCCTGTTTAAGGAAGTGTGCCCAATCTTCTCAAGTGGAGATTTCTGACCAAGTTTTACAAAATCTTCATGTATGGCTTCCTAATTCACCAAATACAGTATGAGTTGCTTTTGGTTTGATTTCATGCTTTAAGTGATTCTTATGAGTAATTCTTATCAGTAAAATCTCTGAAATTAAATATAAAGCTATGAATTAGATATATTTTGGACAAGCAGTTTTAAAATTGATTTAATAAGTACTTGTTGATCACCTATTATGCCAAAACCTTGAGGTATAAATATAAAACATGTAACATAGAGTGTACCATCTAGTGGGCTTGGATAGGCAGAAAACTGATGGAGTCATTAAAATACAGTGTAGGAAAGGCGGAAATGGGGAGACTCTACAGAAACATAGAAAGAGACACAATTCAAAAGTGTGAACTGACAAAAGAGTTTATCCTTTAAAAGGATAATTCTCATTTGTGAAGCAGTGTATTCAAATTTATTTAAAAATGATATTAAATAATAAACATACCTTAAAATATTGTGATTATCTAAAACATCTCTCTAAAATACTCAGAAAATATCTGGCCTAGTTATGTATTTATTTTACACATAAAATTAATACTGTGCATGTCATTTTGACATTAAATAAATTAGAAGGTAATTTGTGTGGGGTTTTTTGCCTGTTTAATAAATGCAAATGAAGTGTGGGAAGGATCAAGCAGCCCTATCAGGGTGGTAAAAGGAGAATCTGGGATTTCTGGGGATGTCATGAAGAAAGTATGCCCCCAAAAGTTGGCGCTGCATGTTGCCAACAAACTGTCTTGAGCAGATTTCCTGCCTAAGGTGACAAGGTTGTCAGGGAGGTAGACATTTATTAAATAATACAGAGGAATAGACATTGAGGCATGGTAAGGGATTTGAGAGGAAGGAGTTATTCTAAATGCAAACAGTGTTCTTAAGAACAGTTACTCATTACCTAAAATATGCAAGAAGAGAAAACCAAATATAATCTAAGATACAATCCCTGAAAAAATATTTGAGCATTTTCTTCAATTTTAATAAGTTCCCTCTATTGTCAAAGCTTTCAAAAAGGTCAATTTAACAAGCCCAAATATTGTTGGTAATACTTGTTACTCAAAATAATATTGAAAGTATATGAGAAATGGCACATCATAATCAAATCATATAGTTTTCGTATCTCCATATATATTTTTCTTTTGGTAGAAAGGATGCTTTCCAGTAAAACAATTGGAAGAAGTGTAAATTGTAAAAAACAAAAACAAAAACAAAACCCACAAAAACAAAAAACACACACAAACAAACAAACCCAGAATATTTGAATCTAGGAAACCAAGGATTAAAAGGACTCAAAGGAACATACACCTTAATTTCTTAATGGTTGTTCTCTTCAAAGGGAATGGAATCAGAGCTTCAGGGTAAAGGGCCTTTGGGACTTTATTCTGCACACTGCTGGGTTAATTTGAGTCTTCCACAACAATAATGCATTCTTGCAAAGCTGTGTATTTACAAAACAATAACTGAGGTTTTTAAAAAAATGAATAAACATGTAAGAATGTTTGAAAAAGCTAGATGACCAAAAAAACCCCAAAAAACCATGGGCATTGGAAATTATCACTAAGATTTGAGAAGCAAAATTAATTAAAACCAACAATAACAGTAACGAACCACATGTGCTCAGCCAGGCAAGCGGGCCCCGCAGTGTTGCACTTCAGAACACCAGCGACCTCTTGTGGCCAAAATTGATACTTTTAAAATTTGTGTCCCTGCCTCATAGGATGGGTGATTAAGAAGGTTGCCTGATGAAATTCTGTTTCTTTTTCAGATTGAAATAGCCACAGTGATGCCTTCTGGCAACAGAGAGCTCCTTACCCCACCCCCACCGCCAGAGGAAGCTGAAGAAGAGGAGGAGGAGGAGTCCACCCCCAGACTGATCGATGGCTCTTCTCCACAGGGGCCTGAATTCACAGGGGTTCTGGGCCCACACACCAACGAAGGTCAGGTCCATCAAGGCTGATTTGAATTAAGTCCACTTGGTCCTACCTCAGTGCCACAGGCAATCCACATGACCCACAGAGAGAGTTTTGTCATAGGATCTTTGAAGCAGGAGATATACATGTATTTTGTATCCAAATATAAAGCAGTTTTAATATTCAGCTTTGGCATGATGGAAATGATCAAATAACCAAAGATTTGGGACAAAAATATTTATCTAGCATCATTACTCCGAACCTCTGTGGTGGAATGCATTTCTAGAACAAAGAATCCACTATGCTGTTAGCAAGATGAGAATCTATGTCTGTCAGAGCCGACCACAGCAGTTCAGGGTGGTAAGGTAATGATGACTGATTTTGATGACGGGAAGAGTGGTAATATTTTACACTGACTGGGCACAGACTATCTGTGGGTCACAATGCCCACCTCACATTCTCTCATTCGACTACTACAACCTCCGTGTAAAGGTCTTAGGTCTTTCTTACTGAGCAAACTAGCTCAAAAATGGTAGGAACTTGTCAGAGATCACATAGCTGTTAGTTTTTCACACGGGGTTTAAAGCGAGCCTGTTCTGATTCTTGTCTGTGTACTTATTGAAACATAGACTTCTTCTCATTCAGTCCTCGGGAGCAGCCGAGTGGAAGGCATTCCATAACGCTGGAATCCATCTTGTACAGCCGGATGGTGATCTAAACCAGAGCCTTTTAGTTAATGAGAAAGAGTTCCTGATGCTAAATATGATTCTATGATCTGTCTATATTTCTTCTTAAAATTTGTCAGTGTCATCCTTGGGGGTACTCAGATGGACTCACACCAGAAGGTTTTCCCACACAGAGAATGGCATAGCGAGGGGGTGTAGAAAAATGAGTAGAATTCCCATTGCAAAAGTTTATGAGTACAGAGTTGAAGTGTCTCTGTACTCTAAGCTCTGGAGATACAAAACTTATCCTTAAAATGACTACTGTTCTCATGGACTTTTTTATCTAGTACAGGGAAACAACATGCAAACAAATGTAGAGGCAATAATATGTTCCAGATAATATGACAAAACTCTGTACAGAACATACTGAGAGAACAAAAGGGAGGGCATTCAAATGCCAGCTTTGGGACTTGCTGGATACACAATCTGGAGCAAGGCATTCAATATGTTTTGCGTTAGTTTCCTCGTCTAAAATATGGGATAATAAATAATAGATCTTACTTCACAGAATTGTTGTAAGGATTAAATGAATGAATTTAGTGCCTGACCCATAGTAAACATAGTAAGTGTTAGTTATTCTCATGACTCTATTATTGATAAAAGAGTTTATTTTTTTACTCTCAACAAATGTTTCAGTGTACAATACAGTTTTGTTAACTCTAGGCATTATGTTGTACAGCAGATCTCCAGAACTTAATCGTTTTGCATAACTGAAACTTTACAGCTGTTGACCAGCAGCTCCCCATCACTCCCCACCCAGCCCCTGCTAACCATCAGTCTACTCTCTGCATCTACCAGTTTTTAACTGTTCACCAATAAGCTATGTAAAGAGTTGTCTTCTGTAAAACGCTGTGTATATGCCAACCACTAAAGTGTTTTACGTATATGAACTCTTTGAAGAGTCAAAATGATACTACGTACTAGGTATTGTTATTTCCACTTTACAAATAGGAAAACTAAAATCCCAACATAGTGTAAAGGTTGTCCAAGATCATGGAGGTGGTACATAGCAGTGCTGAAATGCAAATAGACACCACTAAACCCTAAGCCAGTGTCTCTAATGGATACATCAGAGATTCTTTCCACATAGTTAACATTCTATGGATTAGAACATTCTCCAAATAAAACCAAGGAGATGCACATACAACAGAAGCAAATGTAAGTGCCCAGAAGAAAGTTTCCAGTAGGGAAAGTAAATATATCTAGAACATTATTAACTTTTAAGTAATTTCAGATCCGTCAAAAGTTGACTAATCTGGCATCATTACCCATACTCAGGTCTATTAGCCAAGCCAAGGCACAACAGAAAAACATAATGCCCAATCTTTTCAAAAGCTTTAGTCAAAATTATAGCTCAAGAATGTCAGCTTTGAAACCATATAAAAAATCTATGACTTTAGGGAAAAAAAGCTATCTCCAAAGTAGTCTGAGGGGGAGTAATGAAGTTAAAACTTTAATTAACATTTTCATTTCCGCAAAGCATCGCCAGAAATTCTAAACTTTTAAATTTAAATCTTTTTTTTAAAGATTTTCTTTATTCACTTGAGAGAGCGAGAGTGAGCAAGCAAGAGAGAGAGAGAGCATGAGCAGGGGGAGAGGGAGAAGCAGACTCCCCACTGAGCAGGGAGCCAGATGTGGGGCTCAATCCCAGGAACCTGAGCCAAAAGCAGATGCTTAACTGACTGAGCCACCCAGACGCCCCTAAATTTAAATCTTATATATTCATCAAAGTTAAATAGCTTGGAAAGAAATATTTAGAGCATTAGTTATCAAAATATCATATTTTTTTTTTACTATTAATACAAATTTCTAAAAACAACATCCTGAAGCCATATAAAGTAGACTTGAGTTATGAGTGGAAAAAGGAGAATTAAATTATAACTCTTGTGAATATATATATATAAATGACCCTAAGCATTATTGCTAAATTAGCAAAGCCATGAATATATAGAAGACTCAAATGCCTTACTTTTTAAAAATTTTATAAGTGGCAAATATTAATTTATAATGATTTGAAAAATTGGCAAGTGTTAAGTATTTTATAGCTTCCCCTTAAATTGTCTTTCCTAGATTTCCAGTCATAATATAGTTTTCATTTCTGAAGCTATTATTGTAAATAACTTTCCTACTTAATGATAGCAAGAAGACCTTAGTAGGTGTACTACTGTTTCTTGATCACAAACTACAAATGGATCCTTCAACTCAGGCAACCAAGTGTCCTGGTTTGCCTGGGAGTGAGGCGTCCCCCCATGGGGGATTTTCAAGGCTAAACCCAGGAAAGTCCCAGCGAAACTGGGATGAACTGAACACTGAGCAATCGCAAGAAAGTCCTTCCATCACTTCCATCTAGTTTCCTTCACGGCTCTTTCACATCCTCTGCTCATCTCACACCTTACCAACCTTCTTCTCCTCCTCCCTTGACTCCTCAAGCTCATCAGAGAGCTGAGCCTCCTACTCCACAGAGAAAATGCAATCTTCTGGTCAGCAGCTTTTCAGTCTTTCTGTTTTCAGATGTAATCTTTACCTACATTGACATGCGTGTGCCTTATCCCCCTCCCCCCATTACAACAAACTGTCCTCTCACATGGAGGATGTGATCCTTCCCGCTACGCTTCCGGTCCCATTTCCTACTGCCCTCTCAGGATCCTTTTGATATTCCACTTCTCCTACTTTGGATCTTTTTCTTCAAATTTCTCCTGCCTCAGTCCATTTACACACCGCATATATATCTGCTTATACCTATCACCATCTCTCTCTCCTCCTTCACAAACATCTCAATAGCATTGTCTATATTTGCTGTAACTATCTCTGTACCCCAACTCCCTCCTCAATTGGCTGTTAATCTGGCATCCAGCCCCATCACTCCACAGCTCTTACTGAAGTAGCCTATAACCACCACAAGGACTAATCCAAGAGATATTTTCAGTCCTTAACTTACCTGACATCTCAGCAGCCTTAGAATGTTTTCTATTCCCTTTTCCGTCAAACTCTCTCTCTCTCCATCTGGCCTCCATAACATCTCCCCATTCTCTTTTCTTCCTTCCCTTCTGGTCATTGCTTTTCTGTCTTCCTTAGAAGCTTACTGTCCTACAGGACCACTAAACAGAGCGTGAAGGAGGTGTACATATATGTGTGCGTGCATGCGATAGAGAGAGACAGACCAGTATGTTGAGATATAAGCCAGCCTCACAAATACCTTTTGGATCTGTTGCCTTTTCTTCGACACGTCACCATGACCCCAGCCAAGCAACCATCATCTTTTATCTAGATAACAACTTATCTCCACTCTGTCCACTTGCCCTCCCTCAGTCTTCTACCACACCTTCAAGCGGAATGATTTCTTTATACGCAAATCTGATCATGCAATGCCCTGCCCATCCTTAGGATAAGGAACAAAACCTGCAATAATACAGCCGATAAGGCTTCTGTATGGTATGTCCCATACATTTCAGTGCTCTCTGTGCTATAGTCGCGTGGACCATCTTTCAGTCCCTCCAAAGTGAAGGGCCTTGGCACATGCCACTTCCTCTGCCTGTGTACTCTTCACTCCCCCACCGCATGGTCAACTCCTTCTGTTCCTGCAGATCTCAACTCAGTTATCACCCTCTCAGAGAACCATGACTGTCAGACTGAGTCAAATTCCCCTATTTTATGCTCATACATATCATGACATTTTGCACAGTCATCATTTTATTTGTGCGATTCACATTTATCTTACACAGAAGATCATAAAATAGAATTGTGTCTCTTTGTGCTCCTCGCTGTTTCACCAGCTAGCACAGTGCCATTTACCTAGAAAGGATTCAGTAATTACATATTGAGTGAATTCATATTAATGATTATTACCCTATCTTTTTCTTGAAGCAGATTGTTTCAGTGGTGTGTTTAAATATTGAACCAAAGACCTAATAAAAATATTATGTGTGATGCTGTAGCTTTACAAAAACCACAGTCTTAATATTTACATTTGAAAAGAGAATTTCTAATAAGTATAAAAGCAACAACCACACTGTGTCCACTCGGTAATTTAAATTTTAAGACAGTACAAAGAATGTACTAATTATTGTGGCTGCTTTAATTGGTACATTTGACTTTAATTTTGATTTACAGAAAACTATATGAGAAAATATGAAATATACCAGGAAGGCCTGTATGAGACCGTAAACTTATTTAACAAACATCTAATCACATTCTTAGAAATTGTTTTTGTTACTTACATATAATTATTTGCCTCTACCTTTTAGACTTTCCAACCTGCCTTCTGTGTACGTGTATAAGTACCACCGTATACTGTGATGACCATGAACTTGATGCTATTCCTGCGCTACCCAAGAACACTGCTTATTTCTATTCCCGCTTCAACAGAATTAAAAAGATCAACAAAAATGACTTTGCAAGCCTAAGTATGGATGACAGCACTAATAACTTTGTCTTCTTTACAGACTTTCCTAAAATTGTTGCACTATAAAATGAAACTTGAATATGAAAATATGGCTCATAAATCAACTATTTTTTCTTATTTAAATATTTGAAGGTTTACTTTAATTATGTGAAAAATGATTGAGTGTTAAAGTTCATTATGAAACTATATAGTTGATATTTTCAAATACTATGTTTTCAAGAAATAGAATCATAAATATGTATATTTTATAGACTAGAACTCATTATCATGTCATGACATTGAGTAAAAGTCATGGTCATATATTTACGAGGATTTGGGTTGTTTGAATAGGCTTCCATTAAAGCACAATTGCTTTATGATTGATGCATACAAGCCTATATTCTGACTTTATAATGGTTGCCAACTTAGAAGAATTTTGGTACTTGTCTTTATAAAGTGTTTTAATCATTTGAAAATTTCTTTTTAATGTCTTTGTGTTTTAATGCTAATGTATCTATAACTATTAGAAAATATAGCAACCTGTCATCACTGAGGAAAACCTTTTAAATAGTAAAATCTAGACAAAGTTTATGAAGAATGTAGGGAAAAGACCAGTTATTTTAAATATAATGTGTCAATACCTTTGTTAAAGTTATGCTTTCTTACAAGTACATAAATATGTATAGTATTAGGTGGAAACTATTAAATTTTTATATAGAGTAGGTAGAAATAATTATTTCATTAATTGCCTATTGCTAATTCACTTCATATTTATATTTGCTTTTACGTGGGAAAATTTATCTTCATATTTTTATGTGAGCAAAACATATTCAAGAGTATTTAACTATTTCCTTCATTTCTCCTTCTAGATGATTTAAGAAGGATCGATCTGACATCAAATCTAATATCTGAGATTGATGAGGATGCATTCAGAAAGCTACCTCACCTCCGGGAGCTTGTCCTGCGTGACAATAAAATAAGGCAGCTCCCCGAACTGCCAAATACTTTGACATTTATCGATATCAGCAACAATAGGCTGGGAAGGAAAGGAATAAAACAAGAAGCATTTAAAGTGAGTTTTAAGTTTGGATATGGAAGACTCTCATCCTTCCGCCCCATTTACCGTCAATGATGAGCATTTTTATTTCCATAAGGAGATTCAATTTGATGAGATTTTTACCTTCTAAAATAAACTATACAATACTAATGTATCAAGCTTTTGGGAAATACTGCGTTTTGGTAAGTTCTGAGGCTGGTCGAACATCAAGAACAGAGAGCAGAGCTTGCATAAGGAGTGAGGGGCTCCCTGGAGTGCGAGTCTCTAAGGAGCACCTGGAAATGGTGTCAGCCAGACAAACTGCATTTTCCAAGAAATCCACTCAAGGCGAATATTCTATGTGGCTTAAAGGATGACAACTTGTGCAGGGTGTGGGTGGTGTCTTGAGGTAGAAGTCTTTTCAATTACCTTGTAAAAATAATGGATTTGGTTAATCTTAGAAATTTTGTTTTCTAAGTGAAGAAAGCAAGTTTGGAGCTAGACGGTCTTGCTTAGAGTAACAGCATAGAGTATGAGAACACTCACCAACCAGCTTTCTTACCCACTCTTAACTGTATTCAAGCTGCTTTTCTAAATCTCTGTTAAACACATTTAAAATCCTGTTTGAAGGGACACAGGGAGAGTGCAGGGGGCTGTGTGGACCAATTAGCACTGAGCAATGGCAGAAGTCCTATTTCTCCACCAGCTCTCCTGTAACCCTGGTAGGCGACGGAGCTAGGACACCTCATTGTAGCCTGCCAAGGGTCAAAGTTCAGTCTCCCCATTCAGCTTTTGTTGGCATGGGTGGTGGTGAGTCACGGTTTGTTCTATGGTGGTTGGCTAGAGTAGACCTGTTATTGTCTAAATGTTTTTTTTTTTGGTCTTGCTAGGCTGCCCTTTTCCTGGTACTTGTACTAGAGAGAACAGGATTTTGTTGGAGAGAAATTCTTTTTTCTCCATCCCTGTAACAGGAAGGCCATTCTTCCTCTGCCTTACCCAAATCCTCCAAATCCTATGCAGAATGTCTTCTATGTGAAGACACTGCCTTGTTTATACAGAAAAAGTTAAGAGTGGGCAAAGCAAGGTTCTTTGTAGAGATTGAGAAGCACTTTACATTTTCATCAAGAAATATTCGCTTACAGTTAATTTTTCCAAAACTCATTTGACTTGTCTAGTGACCTGGAGAACCAATCTGCTTCATCTTTGCAAAACGAGACCTTGACAGGCGTGTGTTATTTTACAAATAGTTGCATGAACAGGGAATGGAAAATATAATTGTGGTGCCGCTAATTTCCACTAAGTCTCTACATTTGGAATGTTTACAGGATATGTATGATCTCCATCACCTCTACCTCACCGATAACAATTTGGACCACATCCCTCTGCCACTCCCAGAAAATCTACAGGCCCTTCACCTTCAGGTAGGCTTCCACCAGTAAAGTATGCCCAACAGCTCCATGGAAAACAAAAGCAAAGAGGAGGAAGTCAGGAGACTAAAACTGTTTATAAATGACCTGTTGACACACTGTCACCATTTTTCTTCTTTTTCTCCTCTCATTCACTCGATCAGAGGGCAAGGTTTTTGTACATTCATGCCTGTCTATACTGATTTACTGATTGACCTTAGTCTTTAAAGATTTTCAGTCTTTGTCAAATCATAATGCATCTTTCTGGCACCCAAAATTACTTTTGAAAAAAAAAAAACTGAAAACTTCATCTGCTGAAGAAATGTGTAAGACTTGGAAATGGAAAACAAAAATGGGAGAAAGAAAAATCTAATTAATTTCTAGTTTTCAAGAGAGGAAAAAAAATGTCAATTTTAGCTTTTAATTTTAGGTTTTATGTATTGAATTAAATTCAATCCTAGGGCATTCCTATCTGCTGAGAGATGACAGACTTTCATCACTCTGGATTAAGAAAATGTGTTTCCAATGTGTTTTCTAATTCTGAATTAAATTTTATTACTATTGTCTGTGATAATATTGACCCCACAAAGTAACTGCGTCTCTGATATTGTATTCAAACACAGTGGGCTTGTGTATACAATACGACATTTTAAAAAAAGTAATTGGCTTCATATTCCTTATTCTAAGGTTTAAAAGGCATTAAGTGCACCCTTTAAAAATCTCCCTTCTCATGACTACCTCACCAATATAGTATATAGCTGTTTTTAATTTACATTGTCTTCAATTTATATTTTTAATACTTATATAAAAATCCCCAATATTGATTCATTTCAAAATGTTTGCCAAAATATAGTATAGTAATTAAGAATGAAGGCTCTAGCAAAAGCAGATTCTCTGGACTGAAATTCTATTTCTAATACTATCTAAAGATTGGAAAAAATATCTGAGCCTCCCCGCACCACAGTTTTAGATTATGAAGTGAATAGTAGTTACTGGAACATGATAAGTACTTACATGTAAGGCACAGTTATTATTAACAGCAGGTACCTATTACCTATCAAAGGGAGTAGTACAGCACCTAGGCACTAAACCTTTTATTCCTCGTGGACCCTTTGTAATGAGAAGAGGGTCAAGCCATCAGAAAGATATAATGATTATAAACATATATGCACCTAACCATATATAATTATACACTCATATTATTGTTATTAATCATTATTACATTATTATAATGATTATAAACAATATGTCTCAAAAATGTGTGAAGCATAAACTATCAGAATTGAAAGGAAAAATAGACAATTCAACAAAAAGTTGGATCTTCAATACTCCATTTTCAATAATAGAACAACCAGTCATAAGATCAAGTAGGAAATAGTTCAAGAACACCTTAACAACATCTTAAAAATTAACTAGACTTAACAGTTGTCTACACAGCATTCCACCCAACAACAGCAAAATATACATGGTTCTCAAGGGTTCAATGAACATTTTCCAGGATAGGTCATATACTAGGTCACAAAACTAGCCACAAAAAATTGAAAAGAACTGAAATCATGCAAAGTACTTTTCTGATTACAATGGAACTAAAATAGAAATCAACAACAAAGAAAATTTGGAAAATTCACCAATATGAGGATATTAAACAACACTTGCCCTAATAAGCAATGAGTCAAAGAAGAAATCTAATAAATCATTTAAGCAATGCCATAGGTAACAAAATTGATATACAAATATTAATTGTATATGTATACACTAGAAATGAACAATCTGAAAATGAAATTAAGAAAACAATTCTATTTATACTAATCACAAAATAATAAATCACCTAAGAATAATTTTAATCAAAAAAGTACAAGATTTGTAGACTGAATGCTACAACATTTTTGAAAGCTTTCTGCACAGCAAAAGAAACAGTCAACAGAGAGAAGAGATAACCTATAAATGGGAGAAGATATCTACAAACCATACATTTGATAAGGGGTTAATATCAGAAATATGTACAGAACTCAAATAACTCAATAAATAAATCAATTAAAATATTGGCAAAGGACCTAAGTAGACATTCCTTAAAAGAAAGCAAACAAATAGCCAACAGGTATATGAAAGGATGCTCAACATCATTCATCATAAGGGAAATGCAAATCAAAACCACAATGAGATGTCACCTCACTGAATGGCTATTATCAAAAAGATCAAAGATAACAAGGTTGACAAGGTTGTGGGAAAAAAGGGAACCCTTGCGTGCTATTGGTGGGAATGTAAGGGGTACAGTCATTATAGGAAATGGTATGGAGGTTCTTCAAAACGTTCAACAGAACCACCATATGAGTATATATCCAAGGGAAATGAAATCAGGATCTCAAAGAGACATCTGCACTGTCATGTTCACTACAGCATTATTCACAATTGCCAAGATATGGAAGCAATCTATGTGTCTCTCAAGGGTGAATTTACCTTACCATTTCCTGGACTGTACCCCTTACATTCCCACCAATAGTATGCAAGGGTTCCCTTTTTTTCCACAACCTTGTCAACCTTGTTATCTTTGGTCTTTTCGATAATAGCTATTCAGTGAAGTGGCATCTCATGTATACAATGGGATATTATTCATTCTTTAAAAAAGAAAAAAAATTTTAAAAAAAGAGAAAATTCTGCTATTTGCAACAACATGGGTGAGAATATTATGCTAAGTGAAATAAGCCCCAGACACAGATGGACACATATTGTAAGATCTCACTTATATGTGGAATCTAAAAAGTCAAACTCAAAGAAGCAGAGACTAGAATGATGCCAGGACCTGGGGACTGGGGGATATGGGAACATGTTAGTCAAAGAATATAAAGTTTTAGTTATTCAGAATGAATAAGTTCTGGAGATAAAATGTAATACAGCATGGAGACCATAGTTCAGAATATCCTCTTGTGTACTTGAAATTTGTTGAGAGTAGATCTTAAGTGTTCTTACCAGAAACACAAAAAAGGTAACCGTGGGAGGTGATGGAAATGTTAATTAGCTTGATTGTGGTAATCATTTCACAATGTAAACATATATCATAACATTATTCTGTACTCCTTAAACATATATAATTTTATCTGGGGAGAAACAGATCTAAATAAAGGAAAGATAGTCCATATTCATGGTTTGGGAGATTTAATAATGAGATGGAAATACTCCCCAAATTGATCTACAGATCTTTTATATAGAAAGTCACAGGTAATCCACTAAACTATTTGAACGAATAAATGAGTTCAGCAATGTGGCAGGTTATAAAATCAATATAAAATATCAATTGCATTCAATACACTAGCCATGAATTAAACCACAATGAGATACCACTTCACATCCACTTGGCTGGCTAAAATAAAATAGACAGATAATTACAAGTGTTGGTTAGGATGCAGAGAAAATTGGAACACATATATTGCTGGTAGGAATCGAAAATGGTGCAGCTACTTTGGAAAAGTTTGACACTTCCTTGAAATATTAAACATAGAGTTACTATAAACCCAAAATTCAACTCGCAGGTATATACCCAGGAAATCTGAAAACATATGTCAACACAAAACTTGTTTGCAAATGTTCATAGAAGCATTATTCATAAGAGTCAAAGGTAGAAAAAAAATCCAAATTTCTATTAACTGATGAAAGGATAAAAATGTGGTATATCCACACAATGGAATATTATCAGACAATAAAACACAAAGAAGTACTGATACATGGTACAAAATATATAAACCTTGAAAATGCAATTCTAAGTAAAAGAACCCAGCCACAGAAGATGATCTATGATTCCATTTACATAAAATATCTAATATAGGAAAATCCATAAAAACAGAAGTAAATTAGAAGTCACCATGGGCTAAAGATAGGGGAAAATCGGGGGGGGGGGGTAATTGCTAATATCTACAGGGTTTAGCATGTCCTAAAATTAAATTATGGTGAAAATATTAATTAAAAAAATTTAAAAATTAAATTAAACTATGGTGATGGTTGTACAACTCGGTGACTATCTTAAAAACCACTGAACCATATACTTAAAACGAAGGAATTTTATGGTATGTGAAATATACTCAATAAAGTTGTTTTTAAATATGTATTTCTGGGCCCTGCTTATCTTCCTGATAGTTGCTCACTTTCTCCCTCACTCTACTTCAGCCATGTTGACTCTTTTCCCATTTTTGAACATTCCAAGGTAATTACTCAGACTGAACGTGGTCTTCTCTCTCCCTGCAATGTTCCTACCTTGGCTCTTTCCATGCCCGTGTGTTGTTATTCCATTCTCAGCTCCACTGCTCTCTCTTTAAGATAACTTTCCACAGTTACCGCTCTTCCTTTGCAGTACCCATCAGTTTTAGAAATAGCTTTTTCTTTACATTTGTTTTCTCACCTCCATATTTTACATTTCTACTACTGAAGTGCGAGCTGCTTTAGGGCAAGCCTGTATCTACTTTGTGCTTCAGTGATTTAATCCCCACAGCCTAGAAAGTGCCCAAGGCATAATGATCCCATAACATGCATCTTTGGATAAGAGAAGGAACAAAAGAATTAAAATGGGGGTGAAGCAAAATGGACTGTGTTATTAATCAATAATAAGCATATGTTATATTTTGCCTTATCATTTATTGTTCATCTCTTTTAGAATAACAACATTTTGGAGATGCATGAAGATACTTTCTGCAATGTTAAAAATTTGACTTATATTCGTAAGGCGCTAGAGGACATTCGATTGGATGGAAACCCTATCAATCTCAGCAAAACTCCTCAAGCGTACATGTGCCTACCTCGTTTGCCTATTGGAAGTCTTGTCTAATTTGAGATAATGGTTAGCATTATGATGCCCACTATAATGGAACAATTCTTACTCCTTTCTTCAAAAACAGAAACTCAGCAGGATACTTTCAAATTGTGTTCTAAAAAATGATATACAACTAGAAGTTTTAAGATATGATGACAATTTAGCAAGTTAAGCAAACACCAGGTGAGTCAGGAATAAAACCAAATGGTGTACAGTAAGAGCAAAAATAAATGATAACAAATATTTCATAGGTACTCTTGTAAATCACATGTAACTTGCAAGTTTTAAGGATTTATATCCCATATAATTTCAAGTTAAGTCTAATAAAGAAAAATACAGAATGAACACGTTAGGTGTATTGCCAAGATTTAGATGTTTTTAATTAAACTTTTCTATTCCTTTTTTTTTTTTTTACTAAGGCATGTTTCTGTTTCCCAATTTATTAATGAGAATGAAGGAGAGAATAAAAGAATTTGAAATTTACAATGGCCTTGTGGGAAAATATTCATTATAATCACAACATGCAAATAATCATATCCAACAATATAACACATAGCTTCAGTTTTTGAATAATATTTTATCACCTTAAAGATCTGACAACTCATTTTAGACCCTTACCTAAATGGCAATTTATTGGTATATCTCATAAGATGGAGGTGCTGTAGGAGGACCCTACACTTGTCTCATCCCTCGAACACAACTAGATAACTATCAAATCATTCTATTGGTATATTTCTGTGCCTGTGAACAGAACAAAATTTAGAAAATGGAAAAGAGACGATGATATGATCACCACACTAGGGAAGAAGCTAAGGAATGCCTGCTAAGGAAAGTTGATCTTTCTAAAATGTACGGTCATCATACAGGGACATGGTTACAAACTGAAAAAAGACAAAGGAACATACAGTGAAAGGTGATATTCCTTCCAGCTGCAAACCTCAAGTTCTACTCCCGAGACATAACTAGGCAATGGTTTCTTGCATGCTTTTGTGAAAGTTTCCATGAGAAACAAAAACTTGTACGTAAGCCATTTCCCTTTTTTTAAAGATTTATTTATTTTAGAGAGAGAGCGAGAAAATGGGAAGTTTTCTGTTGAAACGAAGAGTGTGAGCAGGCAGAGAAGCAGGGGGAGGAGGGGGAAGGAGGGGAAAGAATCTGGAGCAGACTCTGTGCTGAGCATGCAACCCAACCTACGGGGCTCAGCGGGGCTCAATGTGGGGCTCAGTGTAGGGCTCCATCCTGAGATCATGACCCTGAGATTATGATCTGAGCCAGAAACCAAGAGTCGGACACTTAACTGACTGAGCCACCCGGGTGCCCCAAACAATTTCCCTTTTTTATACAAATATACATGTGCAGGTGTTACACACATACACATCACCAACATGGATTTTTAAATACAAGAGATAATCACTCTTCTAAATCTTGCTTCTTTCACTTAAAAATATTTCTTGATGATTTTTCCATATCAGCACATACAGTGCTACTGATTCTGAAAAGCACATATCAGCCCATTACATGAATGAGCATTTTATTTTTTTTTATTTACACTAAAACTGCAAAGACTATCCTTGTGTAAACATAAATAGCTTTGTGTACATGAGAGAGTACATCTATGGATAAATTCATAGAAGTGGAATTCTGGGTCAAAGAGCATATTATTTTAAATTTTAATAAATATTACTAGATTGGCCTTCAAAGATGTTATACCCATTCACACTTTCACCAACAGTGTGGGAGAGTGCATGATTCTGTACAACATCACTAAAATGGTTTAATATCAAACTTTTTCATCATTGCATAATCTATTTCTGAATTAATCTATTAAAGTAAAAAAAGGGACAATTGGTAATTGCACACCTCTAATTTTTAAAAACATACAATATATATTTTTATTTTCAACTATCTCTTTCAGGCAAATATATTTCTTCATCTATATTATCTGAATTTTTCTCATTACTCCATATCATCTGTCAGATGCCATTATTTGTAGATACTAGAGCTAAATCCCGAATTTCTGTAGTGCAGTGATTGAAGAGAATTGTTCTCATGTTTCTCCACAGTAGATGCATACTCATTTCCTTGTTTCAGTTTAAAATACAAATACTGATATGTTTGTCATAATGAAAAATATCTATTAATTTTCTTGAGACCTATGGGGAAAACTAACCATGCACTCATTTAATCATTTAATCATAATTAATCATAATATCCTATACCTCCAAAGGTGTAGGATATTCTATGACCAACAGATGGCGCCTATCTTTTTGGTTTCTCAAAGTTATAAAACTTAAAAAAGAATAACCATCAACCCATCATTATAAACCAGTGATATTAAATATGGAATTTTCATTTTGACTTTTTAGATATACTCCCTCATAAATACAGTACCCTGAATCAGACTAAAAGTAGAATTCTAACATTGCAACTCCTGAGTTTTCTATTGTTGCCTTTAAAAAATTGGCACAAAATCAGCAGCTTATTATCTCTCAGTTTATGAAGGTCAAAAGTCCCATGTGATTCAGCTGGGTTCTCAGCTTAGCATTCCACAGGTGCCAAGGGCCAATAATGATTTTAGAGACCTATGAAAATGTTTTCATTTCTTTTAACATAAAAGAAAGCAAGATAATAATAATGATGATAATGAAAATAAATATGGAGTAATGAACCTAGCCTGGCTTATATTTACCCTTATTGCAACAAGTCATAAAATAGAATTTTTATTTTTATTTTTTTATGGAGGAAGGGGCTCATGAAAAAGTCATAATGAGGCCTTACCCACAGGAACCTCACTGAGGATCTTAGATCTCCCTGCCAATAGTCTGGAAACCACTCTGTCCTCACGGCCTTCCCTGAACACTGTTATTACAAAATTGAGGGATTGTAGCAAAAAGTGAAGTGAATTAAAATAACGGGAGGAAAAAGGGCATTATTATGCGAACATATAGGGCCAACTGACATGTTCCCAGGCGTTATGGCTTCCTACTCACAAGGCTTCTCTGCAGATTTAATTCACCATGATTTCTAGAAGGACAAAGTGCTACCATAGTCCTGAAAATGTGATGACAACATTTTAGTATTCCTTCTAAATGCATCCTATTTCCGGGGCCATTTCCAACACCTCACATTCTTAATTGAAAGCTCTAATTCTACAACTGATCCCTGATTAAATGCTGTACTTTTTAATAAACTTTTTTTTCTTTATTCAATTGTTACACATGTTTATTTTTCTCAAATATTACAGGTCATTTTTCACGGGGGGGGGGGAAGCACTTCATTCTGTTGCCCATAACATAGTGTACTTTAAAATTACTTATGTTTATTACATTTCCATGCTAACAATTCCTAATTAATCATTACTAATGACACGTTTTTCAAACGTCATGACTACAATATGTTAGGTTAATTCTCTGAAAATCCTGAGTAATTAAAAGGTTAATAATATTTTCAAAGGGTGATAGTGAATAATACCTACACATAGTACTATTATGGGTGCAACATTCCCATCCTCCTTAAATCTGCAGAAACTGTCTTTGCGGTTACCTCTTTACAGAGTTAAATTTCTCTTCATAATTTACTTAAGTGACATGAGAATTCATTAATGGAGAAGTGTCACAATGTTCCTCCCTGATGCACAACACGCCTCACCAATTTTCCAGCTAACCCCACAACTTCCCAAATTATCAAGAGAAAGAAATGAGTTAATTTCACCTCACTTTTTGAAAAGCTGGGAAGGTTTAATACCTTGTATTTAGCTTCTATGACCAACAGATGGCGCCTACCTTTTTGGTTTCAAGTGACTGTACATGGTTATCTTCAGAGTTGCAAAAGGCAAGTTTTTGAGAGTGTATAAAATGCATTCCGTTTATTTATTTTTTCATATCCCATAGAACTTAGCTGGTTACAAAGATGGATCTAAAAAAATATTTGTTGAATTTTATTTATCTGACCAATTTCTCAGGTATATCCAACTTCTCTCTAAAAAATTTTATTTATAAGTTTAATTAGCTGAGCCTTGCTTTCCAAAAGCCAATTGAAAAACGCTAAATCTAATACATATACCCAATTACACTGCACCAGAATAAAGGGTAATTAACATTGGCAATCTGGAATAGTTTAAATATGCCATTCTTGATAAATATAAAAATGAAGTACCTATCTTCTCATAGTTTGTTTTGTATAGGGTGCTCTTGCTGACTGAATCTTGAATGAGTTACTACTGCCATCAAGTGTTAGAATTCATCCTTTTCAATTCACACAAATGCGCAAAAAAATAACACCAAGAGAGTAGTGTGTTTTCAACTTAACAGTTTAATGTCCTATGTAACATAAAGCATAGCCTAACCTATGCTGTCATACAGCATTTAATGGAATTTCAAAATGCTGCATGCCATTAAAATCTCCCAAATAAAGTCATAACTAGTTACTATGAAGGACATATTGAACTCAAGTTGGTCTGTGTGGTGAACAGACTCTAAGGTAATCCCCCAGTGAACTTCCTACTTCTTGCTATTCATGTCTTTGTGTAACCTTCTCCCCTTGAATGCTGCTAAGACCTGGGTCTTGCTTCTAACCAATAGAATAGGACAAAGATGGTGGATGTCACAAATGTCCATGTCAAGCCCATACTATGATACATACGCACGTGTGTGTGTGTGTGTGTGTGTGTGTATTTTCATTGTGCTACGAAGCACTAAGGAGATCTGCTTTGCTGACTTGATGGAATGAGCAGCCCTACTGAGAAAGCCCATGGCAAGGAAGTGAGAACAGTCTCTAAGAATGGCTGTTGACCCCCAGGACCTACGGGTGGCCTCCAAATCTAAAGGCATTCCCCCAGCCAACAGACAGCTAAAAGGCAGGGCCCTCACTTATATAGCCACAAGGAAATAAATTCAGCCCATAACATTTTCCCAAATGGAGCACCCCAGATGAGAACCCAAGCCAGCCAGGTGCCTTGACTTTAGCCTGGTGAGACCCTGAGCAGAAGACCTGACTAAGCTATTCCTGGACCCCCTAACACCTGAAAACTCTAAGATAATAAATGCATGTTATTTTAAGTAAGTTTGTGAGAATTTGTTACACAGCAGTAGAAAACTAATACTACATACTAAAACACTTCATTTTGCAGTATTTAAAGAATATGGGCCAATTAAAAGAGGTCTTTAAAAATTCCTTAATCGCATTTCTGAAAGTTATGTTTAACACGCTATGGTGGTAATTTTCTTGGGTGATTTGCCAGTACATGACCAATTTGAATTACAATGTCAATCTACCGGAAAAAAAAAAAACTAAAAATCATAAATCATAATTTTCTGCTTCTCTTAAGAAGAATAAGGATGGAGCAAGAACAATACCTTGTTAACGTTCTTTAATAAGGAGAATTAATATGAAATGTATGTCACCATGGAAAAAATTGTACAAAAACAATGTCTTTAATTATCTGTGAGTTAATCCCTTTAAAACAAAGAAGAAATTGATGAGAA